AAGTGGGTTAAGCGAAGAGGATAATATTTAGGCACTCCCCAGCATGTACATATTACCTTGGTTAGGGAAGTTGGACAGAAAAAACTCTAAAACTGAATATCTTGAACCTGACATCCCTCTAACCCTTCACTCAAACCATCCAGGATGTCTTTGTAAATTGGTTCACAGTGGACAAAGAATAACCTGGAATATTCAAGTGAGTCTTTTGACCTGGTGATTCTGTTTTGGGAAAACTCAGGTGGGGAAATGTCCTAACACAGAATTGGGAGGAGCTCAAGGCAAAAATGATGGCATGAGGTTGAGAGTGAGGGGGCATGGGGTTGAGAGTGAGGGCGCTAAAGTGTGACTGTCAGGGTACGAATTGTTTGTGAAACATTCCTCCTCTATAAAATGGGAATGTAGTAGTTAGTGCCTGTCTTACTGGGTTGTTGTCATATTATATGTGAGATAATGAAGGGGCTACTTCAAGTGCCTGGGATCCATGCAGTTCTGAATAAGGTTAATAAGGTTAACGATGGTGATGATCTTGAGAATTTGAGAATCGCTAAGAAAACCTAAGGTATGTAAACACAATGAAATATTAGGAATCTGTTAAACTGACATGTTGGAAACTATATTTAAGTAAAGCACAATGTAAAAAGCCCCAGGACACAAAATAGTTTTGCATATTATTTGCAAAGAGTTAATAAGGCATGCATGCAATTAAAAATAACCCAAGCAAAGAAAGATAACCCAACAGCAGGGGATGTAGCTCAGTGGTAGAGAGCTTGCCTAGCATGTGTGAGGCTGCGGATTCAGTCTCCAGCACTGAAAACAACAACAAATCCAACAAAATTTTTAGGGATGAAAACAGAATTTAATGTTCTGTGACTTGCTGGGTGACATTTGTAGGGCTTATGGTGAATTATTTTCAAACTAGTTCTCAGTACCATGAGATTAATTTCTCAATCTTTTTATTGTGAAATATAAGACTCAGAAAAGTGCTCAAAACAAAAATGTAAAGTTTAATGACTTATTACAAAATGAACAACAAGGCAATTACCATGCAAGCCAAGAAATGAATGACCAGCTTCCCCCAGAAATCACTGACCTAACTGCTGTTCTAAGAATGCATCCTGAAACAGTATGACTTTATTTTTCAAAAAAACATTATAATGAGACAGGGCTAGGGTGGTGGCTCAGTGGTAGAGTGCTTGTCTAGCATGTGTGGGGCAGTGGTTTTGATTCTCAGCACCACATATAAATAAATAAAAATAAAATTCTATCAACAACTAAAATAAAATTTAAAAAAAATTATAACTGGGGCTGGGGATGTAACTCAGTTGATACAGTGCTTGCCTAGCATACACAAGGTCCTGAGTTCAATCTCCAACACCACCAAAAAATATATATATATATACCTGGAGCTAGACACCATGACACATACCCATAATCCCAGCAACTTGGGAGGCTGAGGCAGGAGGATCTCAAGTTTGAGGAAAAGCTGGAAAATTTATTTTTGTTTTTTAAATTTATAATGCAGAAGGTGTATGTAGCTCACAATTTTGCTGGCTCCAGTACCTAATGTTAGCATCACACGGTTCTAGTGATAATCTTACTGAAAGAGTTCTGAGCAGGCATGTGGCATCATAAGGGATTAGAGGGAGCTCATGTCAAGCCTAGGCAAAATATTTGTCTCAAAATAAAGTAAAAAGAGCTGGTGATGTAGCTCAGTGGTAGAATGTCCATGGATTCAGCACCCATACTGCAAAATAAATCGATAAATAAAATTTATAATTGGAATTAAGCAATCTGTATTGCTTCATATGGCTTCCATTGTTCAGCACATAAAGACATTAACACAGATTATTTCATATAATTGTCATTTTTTTCAACTTCATTGTTGTCTAGTAGTCCACTGTAATTAATATACCACCATATATTTATCCATTCTACTGTTGATGGACAAATGACTTGTAAAAGTCTGTGTTTTCCAAAGGTGGCCACAACAATATCTCTCAAAAAACATGTTCATTCTCAAAATGACCTTGACATTTCTCTTCTTAGGAGGTTGAATCTACATTCCTCCATCTTGAATCTGGTGGGCCTTTACTCTTCCTCAGCTAATAAAGTACCCTAAAAATGGCTTCCGATGCTAGGCCATAAAAATGCTATGTACTTCTACTGTGATCTTTGGGGATGCCTGCACTTGGGAACCATCACCTCGATGTGAGAGAATCCAAACTACAACATTAAGGGTCATATGCAGGCACTTTGGCCAACAGGCATATGTCCCTAACAGAGAGGATATATGAGTGAACCAGCCTTCAGCTAATTCCAGCCTCTCCCCATTGAGTTACAGTTTCTGAGGCCTCCCAGCAAAAGCTACAGATATGGAGCTAAGACAAGCAATCCCTTTTCTGAACTCATGACCCACGGAATTCATAAGCATGATAATGGTGGTTGTTTTACACCACTTAGTTTGAAGTAGTTAATTCATGGTAGAGTTGCATCCAATTTTCAGCTATTACAAATAAATATTTATGTGCATGTATTTTGGGAGGGAATACCTAGGGATCATAAGTGTGAATATGTTTAATTTGGTAGATAACATCACAGGTTTCCAAAAAAAAATTGTACTAATGTTGACTCCCTCCTTCAGCATATGAGAATTTTCTTTTTTTTCTTTTTTTTTTTTTAGCTTGAGTCTTTATTTTTTTATTTTTTCTTTTTTTTATTGGTTGTTCACAACATTACAAAGCTCTTGACATATCATGTTTCATACATTAGATTGAAGTGGGTTATGAACTCCCAATTTTACCCCAAATGCAGATTGCAGAATCACGTCGGTTACACATCCACAATTTTACATAATGCCCAATTAGTAATTGTTGTATTCTGCTACCTTTCCTATCCCCTACTATCCCCCCTCCCCTCCCCTCTCATCTTCTCTCTCTACCCCATCTACTGTAATTCATTACTCTCCTTGTTTATTTTCAATTCCCCTCACAACCTCTTATATGTAATTTTGTATAGCAATGAGGGTCTCCCTACATTTCCATGCAATTTCCCTTTTTTCTCCCTTTCCCTCCCATCTCATGTCTCTGTTTAATGTTAGTCTTTTCTTCCTGCTCTTCCTCCCTGCTCTGTTCATAGTTGCTCTCATTATATCAAAGAAGACATTTGGTATTTGTTTTTTAGGGATTGGCTAGCTTCACTAAGCATAATCTGCTCTATTGCCATCCATTTCCCTGCAAATTCCATGATTTTGTCATTTTTTATTGCTGCATAGTAATCCATTGTGTATAGATGCCACATTTTCTTAATCCATTCATCTATTGAAGGGCATCTGGGTTCGTTCCACAGTCTAGCTATTGTGAATTGTGCTGCTATGAACATCGATATGGCAGCATCTCTGTAGCATGCTCTTTTAAGGTCTTCAGGGAATAGTCCGAGAAGGGCAATAGCAGGGTCAAATGGTGGTTCCATTCCCAGCTTTCCCAGGAATCTCCATACTGCTTTCCAAATTGGCCACACCAATTTGCAGTCCCACCAGCAATGTACAAGAGTACCCTTTTCTCCACATCCTCGCCAGCACTTGTTGTTGTTTGACTTCATAGTGGCTGCCAATCTTACTGGAGTGAGATGGTATCTTAGGGTGGTTTTGATTTGCATTTCTCTGACTGCTAGAGATGGTGAGCATTTTTTCATGTACTTGTTGATTGATTGTATGTCCTCCTCTGAGAAGTGTCTGTTCAGGTCCTTGGCCCATTTGTTGATTGGGTTATTTGTTATCTTATTGTCTAATTTTTTGAGTTCTTTGTATACTTTTCATTCCATGGCTTCCTCAGTGTCTGATATTATTGGTCTCTTTTAACATCAGCCATTCTGAAGGATGTATAGGAGGATCTCATTGTGGTCTTAATTTGCATTCCCCTAATTTCTAATGAGGTTGAACATTTTAAAATATGTGTATATGTCATATGGTCATAAAGGTATTTTATGACCATATGTCATGTACACATATTATCATCTAGGAGCTTTATTATTGGTGTTTCACATTAATAGCAACAAATGCAAGAGATGCCATAAAATTTCATTTCATTTGTGTTCTCTCAGGTTATCTTTTAGAATTATAGCCATTTACATCTTATCTAAACCCACAATAATGTAGGAGAGTGAGAATCTAACCCTGAAATATTTTCCTTCTCCAGATCTTAGAACTTCTTACTAAGTAATAAAATCAAAATCTTAAAGCCCTAAAAGCATGATAAGATGCTTTCAATGCTTTATTCTTTTTTTTTTTTGTAGGGGACTCATGAGGTGTAGGTGCACATGGGAGAGGGTGTTGCTATTCTCAGATACTAATACAATGTGACATGCAGTGCTTACTAGATGCTAGGCTCTGTCCTACAAGCCTGATATCAATTCATTTCATGCTCTCAATGATCCTCTGAAGAAAATATTACTATTTTTTCCACATTACAGATGAGGAAATTGAGGCACTGAGAGGCAAGGTAATTCGTCCAAGGTTATGCAATTAGCAAGTAGTTAAGAGACCATGCTCTTAATCACAACATGGTGGAACCGTATGTTACAGAAACTTGAGAACCATGATATCGGCATTTATTTAACTTCTACACATTTTTGCAGTATTCTTAGCTCATTATTTTGCTTACCATGTCTGAAAGTCCAGGCTTCCTGGTGGCAGACAAAAATAAATATATATTGTAGGGCCTGAAGTGTAATCCTAATGACTAAGATGGAGAGCCAACAGGTGTGGTACAGAAGGAAGGAAGTGCGGAACTAGCGTAGCTCTCTGATAGGAAAATCTAGGGCTCCCACCCTATAAGGAACATTTGTATGGCCCAAGCTCCTTCCAACAGTTTGATTTACTGTGACAGTCATCAGTTTATTGCCTCTTTGCTTCAGCTTAGCAGGAGAGGGCTTAAAGACCCCCTTGGAGGGCTTCCCTAGCACCACCTTGGGCAGTTTTATTTTTACTTTTTTATTTTTTGCAGTACTGGAAATTGAACACAGGGCCTCATACATGCTAGACAAGCACTCTACCACTGAGCCACATTCTCAACCCCACCTTGAGCACTTTTGTGGCAGATGGCTTCTTCAGCACTCCGGAGAGCAGGTAAGTCTTACCAGTAAGGTCCTTTGTGAATCTTCCTCCTTCCAAAGAGCCTTATTCTGACCCATTCCCTTGAGTCCTGGCACTCAGCCTTGGGATCAGGTGGCCTTTTCTTTAATGCTCTATTTTAGCTCTAGGGGAGATGATGGTAACTACTCCCTATCTCTGATATTCCTATAATGTTTTTAGGGCTCTCTTTGCCTCTCATTAGCCCATCAATTATAACTTCAGTCTCCCTGGTAATAACTCTTTAAACTTAACTTTTTTTCTTTTTTTTTAATGTATGATAACTTTTATTTATTTTTTTATTGGTTGTTCAAAACATTACAAAGCTCTTGACATATCATATTTCATACATTAGATTCAAGTGGGTT